AAATCAGTCTCCTACTCACTGCTTGTCTGATCCACACCTCATTACGGGACAAGGTGATCTCACAGAGCAAAGAGATTGTAATATCAGAGCAATCATCTTAATACACGTAAAACTGTCATGGTGTATAATTGAAAATGTTACCGCTCTCCCTCTCCATCTTATGTCACCTGGCAGACAATCAGACTTTTATCTTCCTTTGAGATGAAATGTTATTAACATAGATGTCGGTGTTTTAGTGTTAAAATATCAAATTACAGATCTTTCTGAACAAATGAAAAGAGCAGAAGATATCAGATTATCTTTGCCTCATTGGACTAGAAATGTATGGAAACCAACAGGGAACATTGTAGTATGCTCTTAAAACCATGAAGATGTCCTCAAATTGATTCCAAAGCAATTAGAAGAGCAATGTTTTGCCTTCAGAGCTTGTATAGGTAGCCTATACCAACATTTTAAAAAAGTAAGTAAGTAAGGGAAAAATCATGAATATTTGTATTTTGAGCAAACAATTCCACTAACCAAGCACTGTCTTGGTGTAGGAGAACTCTCGTTCTGCCAGAGGCATGCAGAAAGATGGCTGACTAGTTAATTTATGGATCCATAACTTAAATTTGATGTATTCTAATTGGAAGTCAATTTGTTTCCAGGCAGTGTTTCATCGAGATTTAATGCACTTGTGATTAAGGTGACCCCATTATATGCTAATTATTCAGCATGCCCCGAGAACCAGTTTTTGTATTATTAACATTGAGAGAGCGAGGAAGGGGGGGAGGGAGTGGGCGAGAGAGGAAGAGAGAGAGAGGGAGATAAAGAGACAGAGAAAGAGGAAAGAGAGAGAGATTCCCTCTATAAACATACCAGATGTCATCAAACTACTCTCCCCTAGGTTATTTTATTTCCACTGTCTCTGTCTGCTACAGAATGCACCATGCTGTATGTCACAGACAGGGGAAAATAGTTATAGGCCACCCTCATATAGCCAGCCCAGATCAGCACGACGCGCTGCTCAGAGAATATCAAACAGGTCGAGCAGAGGAGGAGGGGGGGGGGGGGGGGGGGGGGGGGGGGAATGACGGGGAACCACTGTGTGAGGTAATTGGACGTTTTGTAAAGAAGCAGAAAGTTATTATCGGTGGCGCTGCGCCGTGCCCTGCTGTATGATTGCCATGTTATTTAATAGAGTAGCAGAAGCATGCCACAGAAAGCCATGAAGGTCCCCCTCACTGGCTGGTGAATACCACCCACACACCTCGCAAAGGAGAGAGAGAGAGAGGGAAACAGAGATGGAGAGAGAGAGAGAGGAGAGGGGGGGAGGAGCATAACATGGTGCAGAGAGGGATGGGTGAGCGGGAAATGTAATTCTTATTCAACCGGTAATCTAGGCATTGTTCGGAATGGCACTACACCATTTACAAACCTGCCACAGTTAATTAGCTCACAAAAACTAAAGAATCTGAAAAAAACATATTTGTAAATTTGCTTTTCTATTTTACTACCATGTGTAAGCAACAGGGCTCATAACTGCATCCAATCTCTTTCTGACATCTCTGGTAAATGACAATTAGAAGAGCATAATCACAGCAATTTCCCCACCTGATTATATTGCCAATTGACAGTGCTTGTTATTTTGTGACTAACATGAGCACATTATGTTGACAAGGGATAACGGGAGGGTGAGCCCCAGTGCACTGGAGGAGGCTGCTGGAGGAGAGGAGAGGAGAGGAGAGGAGAGGAGAGGAGAGGAGAGGAGAGGAGAGGAGAGGAGAGGAGAGGAGAGGAGAGGAGAGGAGAGGAGAGGAGAGGAGAGGAGAGGAGAGGAGAGGAGAGGAGAGGAGAGGAGAGGAGAGGAGAAATCAACCTCTCAGGCCCTGTCAATATTGTCACTTCATATGGGTTACAACTCACATTCTGAAACTTGGTTTGTTGTTGTGCAGTATTTGATTAGGTTGATGTTCTAGTGCTGTGGTGTTTGGTTGGTTGATGTCCTAGTGCTGTGGTGTTTGGTTGGTTGATGTCCTAGTGCTGTGGTGTTTGGTTGGTTGATGTTCTAGTGCTGTGGTGTTTGGTTGGTTGATGTTCTAGTGCTGTGGTGTTTGGTTGGTGGTTGTGCTTTAGCATTTGGTTGGTGGCTGTGCTAGTGCTTTAGCGTTTGGTTGCCCTCAGATCTTACCTTGGTATCTGAGCAGGAAGGACCCAGGCTGGGTCTGTCTCTGGCTGTGGAAGTGGATGGTGATCTGGTTGCTCCAGCTGCGTACCACCAAGCCCCTCAACAGGATAGATTCGTTGGCCAGAACAGAGGCCTCTCCGCCCCCCAGGTCCTCAAACGTCAACCGCTCCCCCTCCCACAGGCTCACGTTCACCACCTGCATGGACAAACACACACAGAGGGGACCAGTTCACTAAAGGGCACACATCAATACATACAGGTACATAGACTTGTAAAGAGGGTGACAGAGAAATGTTGTGAGATGAAGCCGCCTGCCTCCTTTACTGAGCTTTTACCATCATACGAGGGCACCTTAAGAGATATGCCTCCATGTCACTCTGTGGAGATTATTCTCATATAAAAACCCAGAGATATGCCTCAATGTCACTTCACTGAGTTTACTCTCATATAAAAACACTTAAGAGATATGCCTCCATGTCTCTCCATACAAAATCATATCAACTACAGTACCTTCCCCTAGGAAGGGATGAAATAGAAGTCAGTATTCCGGGCTGTTAATCTAACACCTCAGAGAAAGTGTAGATGGAAAAAGGAAAGACTGTGTATATATTAAATGACAGAAAATTAACAATGAGTCCAATGTATGTCAGAATCCATCAGCTGGAATTCCAGCATATGATTGGTGAAACGTGTGGTGAGAGAAGATGGTTCCAGGCCTTGACCTGTGAAAGCTCTGTTCCACAGGGGCAATAGAAGTGTCAGATAGAAGGAGGAGCTAAATGAAAAACAGCAGAACAGAAAACACCAAACTGACGTGAATGAGAGACCAGATGAAAAGAGAAAGGGTTATAGGTGAGAGGTGCACCGTGTGGGGCCTCTAAGCTAGCACGAAAGGATGAGTGGTCGTCTGACATATGTTTATTAAACACGTAACTATATAAAGTCTCTGTGATTATGCTCTTATGAGGACAGTGCTGCCATAGCAACAGCTGTCAACCTAAAGACGTGCATTCGGAAAGTTATCAGACCCCTTTACTTTTTCCACATTTTGTTATGTTACAGCCTTATTCTAAAATTGATTAAATACATAAATCATACATCTACACACAATACCCCGTAATGACAAAGCAAAAACAGGTTTTTGGAAATGTTTGCTAACTTATAAAAATTAAAAACAGAAATACCTTATTTACATAAGTATTCAGACCCTTTGCTATAAGACTCGAAATTGACCTCAGGTGCATCCTGTTTCCATTGATCAACCTTGAGATGTTTCTGCAACTTGATTGGAGTCCACCTGTGGTAAATTCAATTGATTGGACATGATTTGGAAAGGCACACACCTGTCTATATAAAGGTCCCACAGTTGACAGTGCATGTCAGAGCAAAAACCAAGCCATGAGGTCAAAGGAATTATCTGTAGAGCTCCGAGACAGGATTGTGTTGAGGCACAGATCTGGGGAAGAGTACCAAAACATTTCTGCAGCATTGAAGGTCCCCAAGAACACAGTGGCCTCCATCATTCTTAAATGGAAGAAGTTTGGAACCACCAAGACTCTTCCTAGAGCTGGCCGCCTGGCCAAACTGAGCAATTGGGGGAGAAGGGCCTTGTTCAGGGAGGTGACCAAGAACCTGATGGTCACTCTGACAGAGCTCCAGAGTTCCTCTGTGGAGATGGGAGAACCTTCAAGAAGGACAACCATCTCTGCAGCACTCCACCAATCAGACCTTTATGGTGGAGTGGCCAGACAGAAGCCACTCCTCAGTAAAAGGCACATGACAGCCCGCTTGGTGTTTGCCAAAAGGCACCTAAAGGACTCTCAGACCATGAGAAACAAGATTCTCTGGTCTGATGAAACCAAGTTTGAACTCTTTGGCCTGAATGCCAAGCGTCACGTCTGGAGGAAACCTGGCACCATCCCTACGGTGAAGCATGGTGGTGGCAGCGTTATGCTGTGGGGATGTTTGTCAGCGGCAGGGACTGGGAGACTAGTCAGGATTGAGGGAAAGATGAACGGAGCAAAGTACAGAGAGAGCCTTGATGAAAACCTGCTCCAGAGCGCTCAGGACCTCAGACTGGGGCAAAGGTTCACCTTCCAACAGGACAACGACCCAATGCACACATCCAAGACAACGTAGGAGTGGCTTCAGGACAAGTCTCTGAATGTCCTTGAGTGGCCCAGCCAGAGCCCGGACTTAAACCTGATCTCTGGAGAGACCTGAAAATAGCTGTGCAGCGACGCTCCCCATCCAACCTGACAGAGCTTGAAAGGATCATACCCAAGAAGACTCGAGGCTGTAATCGCTGCCAAAGGTGCTTCAAAAAGGTACTGAGTAAAGGGTCTGAATACTTATATTTCAGTTGTTGTTTTTTTATACATTTGCACCAACAAAAATAATGAAAAAAATTGCTTTGTCATTATGGTCTCATTAAACAAAGGGCATCACAACTTAATCACATTATACTGAAAGCCCCATGTCAATTAAATACTTCCAGAATACTGTTGGGGACAATCCAATTTGTGTTGGCATTAGTCCCGACTGTCTACCTTACACTGATCTAATCCCTGGATCAGCACACGTCTGTCTGACAATATCGACGTGGTTTGTTTCGTTAATATGCAAACAGGAGGTCAACAGCAAGTTAAGGTTAAAAAGCATCAAAATCCCTTAAAGGGGAATTACTACAATATGAATTAGGCTCCTCCACCAGAGTAGATTTTGGAGAGCATGTGGGGGAGGAGACGTATGCAGTCGGCAGTGAGCTTTCTGCATCTCTCCCTGCAGAAAACTACTCCCCCTCTCCAGAGATTCCCCTTCTATCTCTACAGAGGAACAGAGGGAGGAGGGAGGAATAAAATAAAGATAATAAAGGAGAAATCTCCTCTAATCTCCGTTCCCTCCTTCAAATGGTCCCACGTTGTGTGAGTGTCTGTGAGGGTACGACAGTATGTGGGCTGCTAGCTAATTATAGAGAATGATTAAGTAGGGGGAAGTGATCGAGCGCCAGCACTAACATCTGTTCCAGACAGGAGAAATGGGCCATGAGGAGGAGGAGAGGAGAGGAGAGGAGAGGAGAGGAGAGGAGAGGAGAGGAGAGGAGAGGAGAGGAGAGGAGAGGAGAGGAGAGGAGAGGAGAGGAGAGGAGAGGAGAGGAGAGGAGAGGAGAGTGGTGGGGAGATGAAGAGACAGTCATCCCCTGATCCCCTCAGTGAGGGCCCCAGGGCCGCCCTTGGAGAGTCATGGTTCTGCTGGTTAATATTGAGGTCTTTCTGTCTTGGCCACCTGACACAGTGACACCTGGTCCAACACTGCAGACACAACACACACTGCTACACAACATACAGACCATATACAACACACATAATCGCATACACAAAAAAAAACAAAGATTTGTGTAGATCACACAGGTACAAATCCTGGCACACACACGTTGATATTACATGAGACCTGAGGCCACTGAATGGTAAGAGAGAAGCAGTGAGATTAGTTAAGCTATTCCAGAGGAAATTGAACATTGTGTCACCCTGAGCTGAGTCTTTCTTCCTGAAAGCCTGTTTCTATTTGATCGCCTGAGTCATCCTTGTTCGAGAGGCATGTTGAATGCAGATCTGTGGAGGTTGTTCCGGTGGAGAGCTGAGTAGTTGTCTCCAGAGAGAAGAGATCACAGTATGTGGAAGCAAACTGGACAGCAGGGACCAAACTATACTGAACAAAAATATAAACGCAACATGCAACAATTTCAACGATTTTATTGAGTTATAGTTCATATAAGAAAATCTGTCAATTGAAATAAATTAATTAGGCCATGCCTGGGAGGGCATAGGCCCACCCACTGGGGAGCCAGGCCCAGCCAATCAGAATTAGTTTTCCCCCACAAAAGGGATTTATTACAGACAGAAATACTCCTCAGTTTCATTAGCTGTCCGGGTGGCTGATCTCAGATGATCCTGCTGGTGAAGAAGCCGGATGTGGAGGTCCTGGGCTGGCGTGGTTACACATGATCTGTGGTTGTGAGGCCGGTTGGACGTACTGCCAAATTCTCTAAAACAACATTGGAGGCGGCTTATGGTAGAGAAATTAACATTTAATTATCTGGCAATAGCTCTGGTTGACATTCCTGCAGTCAGCATGCCAATTGCATGCTTTCTCAAAACTTGAGACATCTGTGGCATTATGTTTTGTGACAAAACTGTACATTTTAGAGTGGCCTTTTATTGTCCCCAGCACAAGGTGCATCTGTGTAATGATCATGCTGTTTAATCAGATTCTTGATATTCACCTGTAAGGTGGATGGATTATCTTGGCAAAGGAGAAATGTTCACTAACAGGGATGTAAACAAGTTTGTGCACAACATTTGAGAGAAATAAGCGTTTTTTGTGCATATGGATAATTTATGGGAGAAAGAATCCAGTGGCCTCGAAAGACTCACGTCCTGCTCAGACAACTCATAACTTGTAGAACATGCTAAAAACATACTGAATGTATCCTATCAGCTTGCCCTTCCCATCCCACAGAGCAATGAGGGTAAAAAAGCCACAGGCTAAGCTTCACTCATCCTCCTAAGAGATGGAACATTCACACGCTTTCCGCATCTGCACTTATCTCATTTTAACAATCATCTCAGCCGTTTCAATTTCATTATCGTCACAATTCCTACACGCCTGTCTGAAAACTGGTTTTATGCAGCAAGCCTGAATGAAGCAGGGAAATTATAGACAAGGGAGAAAATATCGTAGGGCAAGGAAAAGCAAGCAACAACGTGAAAATAAGAGTTAGGTTATATGGAGGGAATGGAAAACATGTTTAGATATGCTGTGAGAGGCCTATTCATTATAAACCTAGTATACCAAAGATTAAGAACACCTTCCTAATATTGAGTTGCACCCCCTTTTGCCCTCAGAAGAGCCTCAATTCCTCGGGGCATGGACTACAAGGTGTCGAAGGCGTTCCACAGGGATGCTGGCCCATGTTGACTCCAATGCTTCCCACAGTTGTGTCAAGTTGGCAGGCTGTCCTTTGGGAGGTGGACCATTCTTGATACACACTGGAAACTATTGAGTGTGAAAAAAACCAGCAGCATTGCAGTTCTTGACACACTCAAACTGGTGCGCTTGGCACTTAAATATTTTGTCTTGCCCATTCACCCTCTGAATGACATACATACACAATCCATGTCTCAATTGTCTTAAGTCTTAAAA